TGATGATGAATTTAGTAAATATTTATATGTATTACAATTAAAAAAAGAATTATTAAATGGAAAAATTTTATGTCCAAGATCAACAGCTGCACTTTTAGCTAGTTATATTGTACAAAGTAAATAGAATAGAATGAAGTTTTTTTTTGTGTTCTATAATAAATAAGACGATTATTATAGGTGAACTTGGTGATTATAATTTAAATGAACATCAACAAGGATATTTAAATGATTTTCATTTTGTACCATTTCAAAATTCAGATTTTGAAAAAGAAGTACAACAATATCATAAACAACATAGGTGAGAAAAAAAAACAAAAATAGTGTTCCAAATGAATCCTTGATCATGTAAATGTTGTGTTAGAAGTTGTCCTATCCCTGAAACAAAGTCGAAGGCTTTTCCTTTTTCTTTTTTCATCTTCTATTGGAAAGTACATATTTTATTTCTCTCAAGACATTATATTCTTTCGTCAACAGATTCGAAATTAATTTTTCTTTAGTTTATTTCTTAAATGATAAATTCATTGTTAAGAAATCTGTTCCTCTGAAGGTTAAATTTTGGTCAGAAGTCGATTTTTTGCTCTGATATAGAATAGTTAAATAACATGTACAAAATCCTTGATTGATACGAATGATAAAAATCTTTAATTATCTTATTTTACTAGAGGTCAATCGCCAGCTGATGCTGAAAATAATTATCTTCGTGTTGCTAGTTCATTGGACATGTATGGTGTAGAATTACATAAAGCATCTGTCAAAGTAAAAATATTCTAATATTCAAAAATATTTATTTTTTATTGTAAATTTAATTAGATATCAAATACAAATCATAGTATATATAGTTCTATTGTTGAATTGTATGTTGGTGTTTGTGCTATTGGAATATATGTCTTTCAAAATTCAATTAAAATTAATACATTTTCTTGGTAAAAAAAAAAAGAAAAGAATAAATCGAAAAGAATTTTTAGTTTTTTTTAATAAACAATAGGGAACAAATAACAAAAATATCATTTAAACGACGAACATTTTATGTTCAACTTGTTAAAAGCCCAGTAAGTATTTATTGATATATACATTGAGAAAATAGATTACAGATTAAAATGTTACGCTTGACGCTTTTACTTCAAAAATAGGTTTTAAATAGACATATCTAATATCAACTGACTAAAAATGATGATGTAAGTAGTGAAACTTGCTCGAATCACGATTATAACTATAAATAATTCTCTCTCTCTCTCTCTCTCTCTGAAACTAAGAAAAATCTATTTAAATTTTGGACTTGAAATATACTTGCATTTCATTGAATTTTCAATTTGTTGTTAAGCTTCTCTTAAGAATTTCATTTTAACTACTAGACAAAAGAAAAACACTTGGTTTCAAAGTAATTCTAGTTATCAGAATTAGTTGCTTCAATTTTGTACTTTTTGTTATTTTTATTTTACATAATTAATGAGAAGTTGTATTTTTATGATTCTATTTATAGTAGATCTATTGTTTTGTGGTCTTCGTTATCATAGACAATCCCATATAAATGAACATATTTCTTATGTACTGCATCTCTATAAATACTACAACTTTATTCTAAACCTCATTTGCTTGTTGACTTTTTATATGTTATGTAGTATTATTATTAAATAGCACTAGTCTTCTATATTACTTAAATAAGAACAAAGAGTGATTCGTAATATTTTGAGAAAGTCTCGTAAAAAAGGAAATAGTTGATTTTCAATGGTCGAAATCATTTTGAAATCAATACAATCATGAAAGTAGTTATTTTCATGTAGGAAACAGTTAATTTTGTTAAGCAGAATCATTTGGAGTCACTCGTAAAAAACAAAATCAATTATCTTCTTGTTGTGACTGATGAAACCTTATATGAGAAACATAAATGTAGATATAAACTTGCTGCCTTTTGGCAAATTTTGCTAATTACATTGACTTTGAACAAGTCCAGATGATTGTGAAAGGACTACAAATGATTCTAATGGTACAGAATCAGCTTTTTTTTTTGTTCTTTCCATTCGATCTTATACATTTTCGAATATATTTTTAAGCTGACAAAATGACTTTGTAGTTTTTGTTTAAATAATTATTTTTCTTTAGAATTCATCAGATAATAATTCAATTGTATTTACATTACGTAATTATCGTTGTTGTAAATATTTATGGAAATCATGTGTTGATCATCATACATTTTTTCGTTTAACATCATTACCAAAAAATAAAGTTTTTCAATTTACAAATAAACTTCGATATCGGTTAGATTTTTTTTTCTTCCTCATTTTAAATTAGATTTTTGTTATTTTTTTAAGTACGGATATTATACCAAATGAATTATTAATGAAAAAAAATGAAAAAAGACAAAAAACATTTGAACGGTTTGGATGATAAATATTTTTATTTTTTTAAAATTATGTTTTTTGTTTATTAATTTAGAGTATCAAATCGTCGAAATATTCGTTCAAAAACTGGTTCATCAACATTACCAATATCTTCTTCTTCTTCTTCAAATAATAATAATCATTTCTTTATAAATAAAAAATCAAATTTACAAAAAATTTTATCTCTTTCATCATCAAATATATCAATATCAAAGTCAGATAAAATTATTAATAAACAATTATCAACACCATCAAAACCTCCACGACAAACATCATTCATCAATAGTATACTTGTAGAAGCTAATGAATATAAACCAAAAAATATAATATCATCTCAAAATGATTATCGAGATAGGTAATTAAGAAGATTAATTTTTTGATTATGTTTTCTTTCTATACTTTTCGTAAATTTATTTGAAATACAAAGAAATAATCATTTATTGTAATGTAAACTTTAATACAATAACTTTGTTGAATTAATATCATCTTTATTTTCTTTGAAGAAGAAAAAAAAAAGAACCTTGTGAAAAGGAATATAAATAATTATTTAAATAATGAATTTCTATTCTTATTTAGTTCTCAAATATTAAATCAAAATTTCTTATTAAATAATTCAACTATATCTAATGAAATATTATCTATTGATTCAAATGTTATACTAATAAAATTAAAACCTGATATTGATGGTCGATATGGTTTTAATATTAAAGTAAAGTTTATTTTCTTATTTCAAAAGAGAAATAAATAATTTGATTATTTTAGGGTGGAAAAGATAAACAAACATCAACTATTATTTCAAAAGTAGCATCTAATACACCAGCAAGTCGAGCATTACTTCAAGAAGGTGATATCATATTAGCGATTAATAATATTGATATTCGAAATCATTCATATGCTGAAGTAAATTGAATTAAAAAAATAAAAAAGTATTTTTCTTATGAAAATTTTTTATATTTAGATTATTAATATGATTCGACGTTCATGTGACAGATCTTTTGATGAATTAGAACTTCATATAAAATCTTTCGATGGAAAAAATTTATTAAAAGAATCATTAGAAATATTACATAATGATATTTCATCAAATCGTTTGATCGAACAATATCAAGTAAAGATTTCGAATATTTTTATTAATAAATAATTATTTTCTTTTTGATTTTAAATTGTAGACACTTCACCGTCTAAACGATAGTTTTACATTTGAAATAGGTCGAAGTGAATATAATTATTATCATAATCGTTATAAAGATGTATTACCTTATGATCAAACACGTGTGATACTTAAAAATAATTCTGAAAATGATTATATTAATGCAAATTATATTAATGTAAGAATAAATCTTTTTGTTTTTTATATTTAAATTTTATTCATCTTTTCAGATGCCAATTAATTCAACAGATATTATTAATCGTTATATAGCTACACAAGGACCATTACCAATAACATGTGAACCTTTTTGGAGAATGATTTGGGAACAACAATGTACTTTAATTATAATGTTAACAACTTTATTTGAAAAGTAATAAATGATTAGAGTTTTTTTTTTTTTTATTTTGAGAGTAAATTTCTTTGTATTTTAGTGGTCGAATAAAATGTCATCAATATTGGCCAAATATGTTAGAAACAATTGATTATGGTTTATTTACAATTCGATGTTGTCGTGAAAGAAAAGAAAATGAACTTATTTATCGTGAATTATTAATTTTAAATAATGAAATAAATGATGAACGAATTATTTATCAAATACAATGTGAAACATGGCCAGATCATGATATACCAAATAATTATTCTTCATTTGTAGATTTTGTATTAGAAATTCGTGAATTAAGAAAAGCAAATAAACATATACCTATTCTTGTTCATTGCAGGTAGAATTTAAATTAAATATTTCTATTTTATTCTATTGTTTTTTTTTTGTGTTCTAGTGCTGGTATTGGTAGAACAGGTGTATTAATTTTATTAGAAACTGCTCTATGTCTTATTGAAGCAAATCAACCTATATATCCATTAAATATTGTTCGACAAATGCGTGAACAACGTTTAGGAATGATTCAAACAGCTGTATGAAATTGAATTTCATCTAAAAATGAATAAAAAATTTCAATTTATTTTTTGTTTTTCTTTGAATTTAGAGTCAATATCAATTTGCATGTGAAGCAATTCTTTATGCATATGATCATGGATTGATAGAAAGTCAATAGCAATTAATTGATTATACCATTGAGAATTTCTGTTTTTTTTTTTTGTAATTGTCAGATAACTTATGTACTCGATATGTTCAAATATATGCTCAGCAAGAATTCAAAGATTGAACAGTCTTTTTTTTTTATCGTTCAAAGATCTTGGTCTTTTTTTCTTTTTGTAGACGTTCTTTTTAATAGAGTGTATTGATAATGATTTTTTTTTAAATTGAATTATGTGATTTTTTCTTTTTTTTTTTTTGAATTAAAAATATAGAAAATAAGAAAACAATGATTTTTATGAGAAATCTTCCTAGTTTTAGACAAAGTGGTTTGTACAACAAATCTGTTGTTATTTTTTTTGTTTTTTTGAATGATTTTATTTTAGATGTGAGCATGTATTTATTAAAATTATTTATTCTTGCTCACTTTCATTAATTTATGTCTAATTATTTTAATTATATCACTCGATCTACTACTGCCGGTTCTATTAAATATACCGGTACATCATGTTCTTGTTATTGTATAACTCATCGTCGATTCTATTCTAATCAGAAATCGATAAATCATTATGATGCACTTGGTGTTAATTCAAATGCATCTGGAAAAGAAATTAAAAATGCTTTTTATAATCTATCAAAAAAACATCATCCAGATGTAAATCCTGATGATAAAAATGCTGCTAATAAATTTAGTACACTATCAAATGCATATGATATATTAAGTGATCCAATTAAACGACGAGATTATGATAATGAATTATTAACTCGAACATCTCCATCTGATCCATATGTTACATATGATCGAACAAGTACATATGCACAACGAGCACGTGCACATCGTCCAACAGCATGGAAACCACCATCATCATCATCATCATCGAATAATCCAAGTGGAGGATTTCCAGGAACAGAAAATGCATTTGGTAATAGTCGAAGTACAAGTTATGGAACATTTGATAAAGAACATTATGATAATTTATTTGGTCGATATCGGGGTCCGCTACCACAAGGACGTTCGAATACGTATAATTTCGATGAATATTATCGTGGTCATTATAATGAGTTTAAATTTTGGGGTACAACAATAAAAGAAACACAAGAAAGACTTCGACGTGAACGACAAGAAGCCGAACATCGACGTCAACAACGAGCTAATCGTAGTACAATATCAAAAGCATCTTCAATAGCTATTTGGTGTAGTGTTGGAGCATTTGTTATTTTGTTAGCAAATATATTACATGATATGCATTTTCATAGACCAGCCGATGAACTTCGTGCGAAATTTTATATCATTCCGAAGTCATCAAATAATAAATCATCTCAAGAATCATCAACTAAATCTTAAAAAAGAAAAAAAGTTTTTTTGTGTATGAAATAATATAAAGTTGTAACTTATTTTTTTTATTATTATTGGCAATGAAATACAAGCACTACCTGGTGTTTTTTTTTCTTTTATTTTCTTATATATATATTATTGAAAGTCTAAAAGATTTCCTTTCTATATACTAGACATGAGCGGGGATCAGTCATCCACGGTCTCGATCTGATCAGAATCGGAATTATCTTGTCCATATCTACGTTATAAGGTGCAAACAATTCAAACTTCAAGTGAAATTTTTTTTCGACTTTTTTTTAATATCATTGGATAGAGCTTGAGCTGCTGATCACGAAAAATTACTTTTAAGCCTAAGTGAATGTTTCCTTCCGGTCGAAATACTGGAAGAGTGTCGTTTTCTTCAAAAAAGACATCTTTTTTAAAATGTGCGAAACTTTCTACCAGAGATGTGCGGGGCATTGATTTTCCATGCCCCGCGGGGCCCGCTCCGTAAAATTCACAAATCCGTCCCGTCCGAACCCCGTGGATATTCTTTTTGAGAATCCCCGCCCCGCCTGTGCCCCGGAAAACCTATACCCGCTCCGCCCGTACCCCGCACAGGCAACTTCTTGGATCGGCCCGCCCGACCCGCCATTTTTGTGACGGGTCCCCACCCGTCCCCGTGTAATCCGAAGAAATTTTTTATTTACCAAATACTTTATTTTTAATGATGCATTCCTTTTATGAAAAATCATTTTTTACAAAAACAAAACTCAAGTCTATATGAGATGGTTTTGAATGATTCACTTTGTGATTGTCGACAAGCACGTATTTTTGTGGTTGTTCTTTTAAAAACATTTTTATATTTGACGAATTACATTTAATATTACTCGATGAGCAATGACTGAGAGATAAAGAAATAATTGTAGATGAACGATCAGTATTCGACGAAGCTGTCCTATTAAGTGATTCATCAGGAGATAAATCATGTAATTCGATGATACTTAGGTCTGACCAAAAGTTCTGGCAACATTATATAAAAATATAAAGGTAAGTAGGCAGCTTTAATTTTATTTTATCAAATATTGAGGACAGTTGCCATGATTATTTATACCAAGTTCGAACCTTTCCAACAATTTGTTAAAAGTTTTTTTCGAAAAAATTTTTAGATATCGCACGAGCTTATCATGTTTCATTTATTTAATCAGTTAAACTACATTTAATAGAATTAGTTAGCGAAAAGTTACATAGTATCAGGCCTGGCGAATATGATAGATATGATATTATATTGATGCCTTCTTCTGTCATGCAATTAATAACATTAGATGAGTATGAAGTCAACGATGACCGTCAATCAATTTTGTACATTTTGAACCTGATGTCTCTGTTTGTTTCCATATTTCATTAATAAAATGTTTTGGAGAGTTTTCAGTATAATACTTGTGACTTACAGTCTTGCCTTTATCTACATTCAAGAGTATTTGATTTAAAGAATATACCAAACAAAGCATTTTCTAAAATCTTTATTTATGAACAATAGTCTTTGACGATTCATCTTCAATAAGCCAGCCAGCATCGGATAACTTATGACTAACCTATCTAAAATAAATCTATATCTCATCACTAGCAGTACTAGAATGCAACTGATATGATCGAACAAGATTTTGCTAACTTTTCACAATAAATGAAATATGATTAGCTCATGCGGTATCCATGATACCTAAAAATTTTTTCGAAAAAACTTCAAAAAACTTTTAACTAATCGTTGGAAAGGATCAAACTTGGTATAAATAATCATGGCAACTGTCCTCAAAATTTGATAAAATAAAATTAAAGATACCTCCTTATCGTTATATTTTTATATAATGTTGTCAGAACTTTTGGTCAGACCTAAGTAGTAATTCACAAAAAAAATCAAACGATAATTCTAAATATAAAATAAGTTTTAGTCCAGTTATTCACTTAATATAAATTGATAGTAGAAGTTGCGTATGACAGACGATAAAGAAAGAAACAAACAAATGGTAGACAATCTTGTACATAATAGGATGAAAGTAATGAACCAATCAATATGTACTTTGTACTACATACCTATACTAAGGACATCCCGTAATAAGTTTTGACGATCTCTCATCACACCCGAAAAAAAATGTTTACCCGCCCGGACCCGTGTATTTCATACCCGCTCCGCCCGAGACCCGTGTCATTTAAAAAAATTATTCCCCGCCCCGCCCGCCCATGTGCCGGAAAATACCCGTGCCCCGTTAATCCCGCGTTTAATCAAATTTTTCTTCCCCGCCCGGCCGTCGCCACGTGGCCCCGCGGGGCCCGCGGGGTGAACCCCGTGGACCGTACATCTCTGCTTTCTACTTCGTTCTTTTTTCGGCTTCTGAAAATAAGTTTTTCAGATGCAGCATCAAAAACTGACTACAGGGAAGTTGTTAAATCGACTTAAGACCGCAAATTCTATTGGTGGTGGCGCTTTGAATCGCGTCGAGTGAGATATGTATAGGTCGATTTTGTAAACCTATCTAGTTTTTTTCGCATAAGCGATGAAGTCAAAAATTTTTTATCTCATTCGCTTCATCATATCATCAGTCACAAAGTTACATATTCTTTTTTTTCCTTTTCTTTTCTTCGTCAATAAAAACCGTGTTTATTGCGTTTTGACCCAAATAACTAGATTTCTGCTCGTAATTCTCAATTTTCTTCGCTAAAAATTGGACTTTATATTAAAAAAATTATTATATTCGGAATAAGCGTAAAAGATCGAGTCGATTAATGTGTGTTTTCACACTTTTAATCACCTTTGATTTTTTGGTAAAATTTTCAGCCACCGTAACAGGTGAAAACTCGGAAAAAAACTGAAATCGTTAGAAACGATTAAAATATACATTAATCGACTCGATTTTTTACGCTGATTCCAGATATGATAATCTTTTTTTTGTATAAAGTCCAATTTTTGGCGAAGAAAATTGAGAATTACGAGTAAAATCTAGCTATTTGAGTCAAAACGCAATAAACACGGTTTTTCTCGACGAAGAAAAACAAGGAAATAAAAAAGGATATATAACTTTGTGACTGATGGTATGATGAATCGAATGAGATAAAAAAATTTTGACTTCATCGCTTATGTGAAAAAACTAGATAGATTTACAAAATCGACCTATACATATCTCACTCGACGCGATTCGAAGCGCCACCACCAATAGAATGTGCGGTCTTGAATAGATTTAATAACTTCCCTGTAGTCAGTTTTTGATGCTACATCTGAAAAAATTATTTTCAGAAACCAAAAAAAAGAACGCAGTGGAAAGTTTTACACATTTTAAAAAAGATGTATTTATTGAAGAAAACGACACCCTTCCAGTATTTCGTATTTTTCGACCGGAAGGAAACATTCACTTAGGCTTAAAAGCAGTTTTTCGCGATCAGCAGCTCGACCTCTATCAAATGATATTTAAAAAAGTCGAAAAAAAATTTCACTTGATTTTTGCAATGCGGGTGCCTTACTCATTTTTTTAGGCACGAGCATCTAACATGGGTTAAGTTTGCCATCTGAGTTAAAGGAAGTTATTTTTGGTGAATTAATTTGTAAGTTTCTGAAGTTTTCAAAAACTAATTAATTGTCATGTTGAAATAGTTGAACAGTACTTGAACATGATTAGACATGCCCTATTTAAATAAGCATTTCATATTCGCTGAAAATGAGGATTAGATGTCTTCGGAGAGTTTCCGCGGAAACTCAATTAAACATCGGCAGAGGAGATATAGAGATATAGGAGATATAGAGATATAGGAGATATAGAGCTATAGGAGATATAGAGATATAGGAGATATAGAGATGTAGGAGACATAGTAAATAGTTATTTATTTTCTATGATTGATTTTTTCGAGCAAGGATCGGTAAGCTGCATGAATATATCTGAATGGATCGCTATTAAAGGTCAAGTACTATATAAAGGTTATCTGCACTAGTTAATCAATATATCCTATACCTCTATATCTCCTACATCTTCTATATATCCTATATTTCTATATCTTTTATATCTCTAGATCCCTTATATCTCTATATCGCTTATATCTCTACATCCCCTATATCTCTATATCTCCTATATCTCGTATATCTACCATATGTCCTCCGTAGAAGTTTAATTGAGTTTCCGAGGAAATTCTCCGAAGAGATCATATGAAGTTTTGATGAAAATATCAACAATACACACTGTCTATATCAAATATAAAGTCTCAAAGAAATTTCATCCATTGGTTGAGCAATGGTCCTCAAAGGATTAATTAAAATAAGCAAATTTGATTATCAATCATAATAATAATATATCATAGATCTAATTTTTCTTTTCTTTTCCTATAAAATAATTCTTTACTTGATGTTATTTAAAAGCTCCGAAAAAAAAATTTATGATAATTTCTAATTCTAGATTATTATTCATGGTTAAAACAAATAAAATTCAAAGTATTTCATATACTCTTGATGAATTACGTCCAATTCGATCATCTATTGATCAATGTCGTTCTTATTTAATAAAATTTATTGAACAATATAAAACAATTAATTTATTAGATATTGAAACACGTTTATTAAATCGTTGTGTTTATAAAAATTGGAATGCACGTCGTACTGAACTTGGTATACAAGCAAGTCGACGAACTGTTCGTTTACTTGAACAATATCTTTCTCAACGTGAACAATATCTTGAACAAATTCTAATAGAATTTAAACCAGATAATATTGAAATTCGTTTACCATCACGTGGTACAATTAATCAATTAATTAAAAGTCTTGAAGAATCATCATTATTATTAACAAAAATTAAACGTCTATCAAAGTTAACTGTTGATCGATTAAGACTTGAATGTTTTCGTGCAAATTATGTTCATTATAATATATTAATAATGTCTCTTTGTTCAAGAATTTATTTTTTAGTTTTAACTCTTGATAAAATTCAAAAAGAATTTTGTTATAATATTAAACAATTTATTAAAATATTCAAGAAAAAAACTAAAAACTAAAA